CAATTCCGGGACACTGAAACTGAAGCAGCAGTTGTAATTCGTAAAATAGCATTGCCTGCTGAAAGAAATCCATACGAACGTGATCCCTGATGTGCGTCAGAACAAGCAGAAAACCAGATTTAAAGGCTGAGTTTGTTTGGAACTGTCAGTACAGAGATATCAGTGTGCTTATGCAGCTCCAATTGTTCTAGCTATATGCAATTTCTGTTTGGATCCACAGAGATCAACCAGGTGACTTTGCCAACTCAAATTGGCTGGTACAGTGTTCTCATTAGTTCCACTGATGACTCCATAAAAAAACATGCTGAGGGGGAGTTAGAGCCAATGTCAGCAGCAGACAGTCTTTCAGAGGGGCCAACATATTCAAACACATATCTACAATATTTTAATTTCTAGTCAAAGCTGGATTGAAACATGTCTTAAATACATATCTTAAATATAGTATAGCCCCATCTAGTGGAATATATCCATTAAATATTCTTAAATTGATAATAAAAAAGGGAAATAACAGTAAACTGACAGGGATGCAGCAGGGTGTCCAAATTCTGAATAGCATCTGAGGAAAACTCCTCTTTGCTTTCCGTTATGCTTTCGTCTGCATTTAAGATGAAAAAGATTAAGGATGAATATTGCTGTGGAAAAGGTTGTGTTATGTCGTCTTTGGCTCTGAAGGAAACTTTCCAAATGCTCAGAAAACGGCCCTGATGAAACCGTCTTGGTTCGAATTTTTTTCAGCTGACAGGGATGTTTATCACACGCTGCAATTTAGGTGCATTTTGGGAAATGTAGGAAATTACAGCATTTTCTGAGTTAAACGCATACAGTACAAGGAGAGTTAAAGCTGGGTTATATTGACTCTTGTGGTATAGATGTTGCTTGTTTTTGGGTTAATCTGTCTCTTGTAGGCCTCCCAACTTTGTGACAGTCATTTACTTATTTTCTTGTAATCTGTTTTTAAGATGAGGGTGATATTTTAGAAAATAAAGCTGATCTGTATGGAACATGACTGCACTTTACTGAGATTTTGAGACAGATTTGATTGATTCTGGATTTAAAAAAATGACAGAACATTTTCAATTTTGAGTTTGTAGTTGTGCTTGCAGGCAGATAAATGCAGGCTTGCAGACGGAGCACTGAGGGAATGCTACTTTCAAAATCATGCTAGTTTTGGAAAATGAGCAACCCTGCCTTTATTGGTACAGTTGAACAGAGCGGAGCACAACATTTTGACATGTTTCAAGTCTCTGGGTTAAACTGAGGTAACCAGCTGCTGCTAAAGCATCATATTCTGTGTATTACAATAATATTAGTCTTAAAATTGAAGCTTTCAGAAATGTCAAAAATGTCAAAGGGCAAAATTTGAAGAACATTATAAATGTCAAAATGTCAATAGTCTAATCTATCTCTTCTGGATTGGTTGTTGTTGTTGTTGTTGTTGTTGTTGTTGTTGTTGTTGTTGTTGTGTTTCTGACCTTTGAATAACAATGATTACATGACCCTTTGGAGGTTACATTTAATCAAATCTTGTCCAAATGAATAGATGAATGGATGACTTTGATGTGTGTGTGCTCCACACATGCCCTCTCTCCAGTCAGAAACGTTTCTGTTAGCTTGGAGGCACAGCGGGTACAGAGCTGAACCTGTGGGCTCTGAAACAGAAACCAATAAATGAGCCTGTCCTAACCCTTTCTTACCTCCATTCAGATCTGCTGCCACCACTGTCGGCACAACTCATTGAATCTGCGGCCCAATTTTGTCTTCGAGTACAGAAAAGTGTCATGGGACAAAAACCATTGTCAATGGTTATGTTGGTAAGGAAAAGAAAAGCAAACAACAGAAAGTGGAAAGGAAAGTGTCTTCTGACATGAAGCCAATCACTAAGTACTATGAAACCTGCATTTCTCCATGCTGCTGAAATAATCTGTCAGCGTCAAATATTTCACAGAACAGCAGTAAATCATACTGAAAAATCATTGATGACTGTTAGGTAAGCTATCAAAATAAAGCAATTATAATCTGCTGCATATTTAAGTGTGTGTGTGTGTGTGTGTGTGCCAATGAAAAACAATGCTGTATTTCTACATTGCTTTTTTATACAACACATGAGTACATCAATTCACTACATTTTTCTTTTACTTTTTTGACCCACTTGTGTTTTTAAATGCCTCTCCTGGGAAAACAGAGGGTTTGACGTTTCATAAAAACAGAGTCATGAAGCCAGGGAAGGTAATGAAAGCCAAAGAATCAACAAAGAGGCTCCAAGCAACAATGTTGTTCACCCAAGGCACAGGCACACTCCAACAGATTGTCTTTTAGCCACTGATTCTCAATCCTACAGCAACAGTGAATGAGGTTTCTTTTGCTGTTGCATTCTCTCAGCACCCATACAACTTTAAGGATGCATGATACATAATGTATTAAAAATAAGATCAACATTTAATTTAAGAGGAGAAAATAAGTCAATGTTGTGATCATTACTTTTCTCTGCTGCCCCCAAGTGACAAAAAATGTGAACTTATTGCATGTTTAAGAATAAAGATGTGGAGCACCGGTAGACTAGCAGCTAGTGTGCGTGCCCCATTTACTGAGGTCCTTAAAAGTGGACGGGCCAGGTTCGAATCTGACCTGTGGCCCCTTTCATTCCCCACTCGCTCTCTCACTCGTTTCTGACTCTATCCACTGTATTATCTATCTAAAAAATAAAAAGGTAAATAAAGGTATTAAAAGCCCCAAAATAATTCTTTATAAGGTGTCACATTGACATCCATACTGATTCATCATATAAATAAGGTATAATGTAGTGAGCAGGTTCTTATGGCGGAGGAACCTCTTCAGGGTGAGACAAGACCCCAGGCTTCCTCCAAGATAACAACCCATTTACTCATACATTATCCCGCTTATTGCACGGCAATACATTTGATTTAAAATGTATTTATTTCTTCACCTACACAAAAATCCTGTTGGAATCTGTATCCGTTTCATTATAATGGTTTGTTCTTCCAACAAAGATCTGTTGAGGGATGGCAGACCGTTGCTATGCGTAGTTGGCCAATCAGAATCAAGTATTTTATACAGCTGTGTTATAATTGGCAAAAAAAAAAAAAAAAGATTAGAGCCCCAACCAATTTATCAGCCAGATGATATTAGCATATCCAGTCACGGTTTCGGCTGATTTTAGACAGATAGCATTTATTTAAGTATAATTGTATTACACTAGCAGATCTATTTCTAGGCGTCACCAGCAGAGTGTCATATATGGATTACAACAAACATAATTGACCTCCAAAGTGTCAAGCTGTGATGCAAGCACATGTGCAGTTACTTTTCAGTTGAGTGACCATCTTGTCTTAATAATATATCTCTCCACAAGTGTTTGATAACTGCATTTATGGGATCAACACAATAAACATGCATATCTTTATTTATCTCTAAAGACTGAAATAGATCTAAAAATGATATCAGCTGATATGTCGATATCTGATTTTTTTTTCACCCCAATATCAATATCGGCCCTAAAAAGTACATATGGGTCGGGCCCTAAAGAAAACACAGTGTTAAGCTTAAAAATGTATCCAAACTGAAAACAATCCACGTTTGATAAAAAGGCTAATATTTTTTATTTGAGCTCGTGGGCAGGTCATTGCTATTAATGGATTAAATACAGTAATTAACTGTCAAACATACTAAGTCCCATTTTAGCGCTGAGGTGTTGAGATTGGGAATATGGTTTAACAACTTTCTGACTGTTTCAAACTCAGTTAGATTTAGCTGAAAAAATAATCAGCAAACAATTCAATAGAAATGATCCAACAGCTCCTCTGATTGACACTATCACTTGATTGTGCATGGCCAGCTTGCCTCTCTTTTTGATTAAATGTAGATTATAACAGCAGCATGATGGACAGGTTTGTGTGATTCTGGAGATAAACGCTTCAGTATTTCAATACTGTGTCTCAGCTGAACTTAACTCAGTGGGGTTTCCCATCAGTCAAGAATAAGCCAAGAGTTCACAAATGAAAGATTCATAAACTTGGACTATAATATGACCCTTTAGTCTTCTGGGGAATCTGTTGATCCTGAGGGAGCTCAGTTTGCCCTTTGGTCAAAGACTATAATTATTTTCCGCTATTTGAACTGATGACATCTGACGTCTGTTGGAAATACTATAACATCTGTCAGCATCAGTGTAAAGGAATAGTAATTGAAGTGCTAAAAGGCTTTCTATGTGATTTTTCACACTTAAATATAATAGAAATCAAGTATATCCTCTGAAAATAACTCTGTGAGTCATGACTGTCTACAATGGGTGTAACACCCGAGTCCCACTGTCTGTGATGTTTTCAGAGTTTTCAGAGTCCTATCTTCACTTTGTTTACATCGTCAGGACGGCCGGCTGACTCCTCCCCTCGTGTATAAAAGTTGTTTAATTGAGGGACTAGAGAAAAGAAGAATAACATACTGTACTCACTGCTTAACTGTGTTTCTAGATCACGCTCATTTCAGGTAAATTTACATGCAGTGTGAAGATACCAGCATAATAAAGATCGCTAGCATTAGCATGCTAACACAACAATGCACCGCGAGTTGTTTTGGTTTATGCTGGTGCTCAAGGGCGACATCTGCTGGATCAAAAAATCACATATAAAGCCTTGAAGGATTATTTTTTTAGTTGTTGTATGTATCCTTTTGCTTTTTATATCCATATGGATCCCTCTTCTTCATGTGGGACTCACTCCAGGATTTACAGAATCCTTCTTGAAGTCTGGAAAGCAGTCTGTTAGAATAAAATAAGACATTTGGAAAATATTCAAGTCTATATTTCCTTTTGCATGTACTGTTTCTGAGATGCATCCTTTAATATAACTCAGTTCTTTGTGACAGCATTGACCTTAAACATTCAAAGAAAGCAATCAAGACTAACACATATAACACATCTTTTCATTTTGTACTAAACAGCAATTTTTTCAACCCTGCCTTCTAATAACAATAATTTTGCACATAGGCTAGAATGTGTTGACACTGATAGAGTGCGACTGAGAAAATGACTTTTGCCTGTGAAATCCAGGGATGGTTTCAAAGACGTGTAGGACCAAACAGATCCTGAAAAATGTTTTCCCCCTCGCATTTCTTGGGAGGTGGTGCGAGGGCTGCTGACGTGATGAGACAGCCCAACCCCTGCTATACTGTGGAGGAAAAGTCCAGGCGCAGGGAAACAGGCTTCAGAGTCAGATCAGCGCGTTGACTGAGCGCACGCTCCATGCGCACCAAGACTCCAAGACGCGCGCCACGGAAAGACTGATTCAGTCTTTACAAAAAAATATATTGCTAAATCATTTGAATGTAACTTTATAAAAAAACAGAGCTGTGGATTCCATGAAACATTTAAATAATTAGACAAGCAAGGAAAACCAGTATTTACAGGAACGCGAATGGAGACGCACTGGATCCAACACGCTTCATATACTATGTCATGATGCAGCAGCAACATACAGACCTCCCACAGGTAATTTACAGCAAAGATTAAGTTCGCTTCGAGAGGGAAAGGGAATTATGAACTCGTCCGAGTCTGTTTGGCTCTTAGGGGAGCCGTGGAACCTGAGCAGAGCGGAGGAAGAGGACCAGAAACTTTTATTCGGGATTGGCACAGATAACTTCATTACGCTGCTGGTTTTCGGGCTCATCTTTACGCTCGGTGTTCTGGGTAACTCCATGGTGATCACCGTGTTGGCCCGGAGCAAACCGGGCAAACCACGGAGCACCACCAACATCTTCATCCTCAACCTGAGCATAGCAGACCTCTCCTACCTGCTCTTCTGCATCCCTTTCCAGTCCACTATTTACATGATGCCGACGTGGGTCCTGGGCGCTTTTATTTGCAAATTCATCCACTACTTCTTCACCGTGTCCATGCTCGTGAGCATCTTCACTCTGTCTGCCATGTCTGTGGACCGGTACATCGCCATCGTGCACTCCAGGAAGTCCTCCTCTATCCGGGTGGCAAAGCACGCTCTGATCGGAGTGGTGGTGATTTGGATTCTCTCCCTGGCCATGGCTGCGCCGATCATGTATTACCAAAACATCTTCCACAGAGGAGAGAATCACACCTTCTGCTGGGAAGTGTGGCCGGATCAAAACCAGAAGAAGATCTATGTATTTTGCACCTTTGTGTTTGGTTATGTGTTGCCCCTGCTGCTGATTACCTTCTGCTATGCCAAGGTAAGAAAAATCCTCGTTTTTACTCGGGTTATTTAATAATCGTGAAAATGTTTGAACACTCACAAATAAATACTGACCCTATTTCCTTGATTACAGGTTTTAAATCACTTGCACAAAAAACTAAGAAATATGTCCAAAAAGTCAGAGGCATCAAAGAAAAAGGTATGTATTCATTACTCTTTAACAGCTTATCTCTAAACACAGAATAACCACTAGATAGAAATAATGGTGGATGTTCAACCAGTTGAATTAAATAAAATATGGAGCTTAATTTGTAGAAAGGTTTTCGAAAACAGTGTAACATATTTTTTCAAATATAGAACTTTGAATCTTGCCTTCGACATTGTAGTGGGTCGAGAAATAGTTCAATCTTTGTAGCGCTTAAAAAAAATTAAATATAGGATAAAGATATTAAGTAGTCTGTGAAGGAAATGTATGGAAGCCCTAAGCAGACATACAGCCATACATTTTGTTTGACTCTTTTTTTCCTGCGATAACCGCTGAATTTCAGTTGTTTTGTCTCGAGTTCTTGACTTATTAATCTTTTGTCCTGTGACATTGAGTTGATTCGGGGTAGCTTTCTCGAGATCTCAGGAAAAGAAGTCTTTATCACGAGAAAACCGGCGTTCTCATCTAGAGATACTGTCATTAAAAAGTGGAGATACTGTATCAAGAAAACAGCAGAAAAATTACTCATGAAGGGAAAACACGAAAAAAATAAAAATGTTTGGCTGCTCAGGGCTTCCGTAGAAATGTTGCCAAAATGCGTTTTACTGAAATCTGAAGATTGCAATAATATTTATAAAGAGGGTGAGATGTTCTTACCTTCAAAAGAGGCATCTCTACAGAAATACTTAATGTATCTCTATCAGTGCCTTCATGGTTCACAGAGCTGCAGCCTTTTCTCCTCTTGACATATGGTCTCATTCAAAGCTTGGGTCAGTGCTCTTGACCTTAAGGAAGCTATATATCACAGCTACATTGAAGGATAGCTTTGAACAGAATTATTCGGGGTGGGCTGGTTTTGTGTATACCATAGCTTGTGACATTTCCTCCACTTCAACAGTCTGTATTCCATCATCTCTGTTTATTCCTAGGGGGACAGAAGGATTAATATCAGTGTTATAATGGCTGCTGTTAACTGACACACTCATGTATAAGTGGCCAAATAGCAATGTGTCATCAAACTGCCATTAAGACTTTTCTTGGTGGAGGTCATTAAGCTTTCCAGAGAGCCGGCGATCAGTTTTTGCCTGCATGATTGCTGAGCCGTCCGCCTGTCCGTCTGTCTGTAAAATGTCCGTCACAGCTGGTCAGTATTGCAGTCTGATCTGATAACTGCCTCATATCATGAAAGCAGGAGTTCAGGCTCCTGGTTTTGTGGGAGGGGAGGGTTTGAGAAGCATGTTATTGTGATTGAATGTGTTCCTCCATATATAAGTGCTGCGTTACATAAGCCTTAAAACAACTGCAGAAAGGGAAAAAGAACATTTAGATTTTTCTGGTAATTTACTGGCTCAACCTTTTTTACACAAAACTATCAGTGCAACATTTGCCTTGTGGAGAGACGCAAGTTGTTTGAACCTTCATTATTGTAATTGCAAAAAGCTGCGTGTGTTCAACAGAGCAGCATCTGTGAAGCACATCCTGGCCCCTTAAAAAGCAGACACAAAGTCGGCCATCAGCTGATGCTCTCTCTACCAGCTTCTGTATGCCTGCAGTGTTAGTTCCTCATGTCCTAGCACTTTAACAATTAAAAAAGGATGAATACAAATGACCTCCACCTGGTAACGTATGATAAGTTATTTCATCTCATACAGATACAAACTAAACATCCTAGAGAGCTGTTGGCTGTGGTATTTGCATTGGGTTAGACTGTATAAAACATGGATGTAGTCTCAGTGATGTCACCCATTGGTTTCCAAATACATTATTTTGCCCAGTGATGGTGGTGACCATGTTGGAAATGTTATCTCAACCTAACTTTCAGTCTAGTAACAGGCAAAGAGGCGGAGTTGAGGAGATCTTAAAAGTCCTGACAAACAGCTCCAACATGTCCATCTGTCAATCAACTCCACAACACCCCTCATCATGCAAATGTTCTGAAACTCTCAGGCTCAATCATTTCAAACTGGATGAGTTATAAATAAAATATCGACCCCTGAATACTGTGTACCAATAAAAAAGTGAGCTATTAATATCAAATGTGTTTTTTTTATAAACCAGGCATTGTCAGTTTTATTTATGCTTTAAAAGATAAGCATTTCAATATGGGGTTTAATAGGGATTTCCTTGGCAGCCAGTCTCAAGTGGACAGTTAAGGAACTGCAGATTTTGGCATCATGGCTTCATTTCCCAACAGCAGAGGTTTCCACTTGGGCCCATTACAGATTCTTATGAGACAAAAACATCGGAGGTGATGCAACAGTGTGCTCTCCTTGCTGATAGTTCTTTGATGCCAGATTAGTGTGTTTGGGGATATAAAGTTGTGGTTTCAGCCGTGACAAAATAACAATCTGCTTGATTAAGTTTATTATTCACAGCATGGAAGTGTATTTAAACAGAGATTGATTGTAAACTTCATGATGTTTATCTTAATAAACCAATCCCAAACATGGTTATTCCGAAGGAAATTAGAATTGAGTAGTGAAGGGTCATTAATCTATAACAAGTGGTGTTGTACTTGCAAGCAGTTTTTTATGTCTCAGAGCCAATATGTCACACTAGCAAGGGGTGCATTTTACAAAATACAAGAATCAAATGAGACAAATAAACAAATGACCCCTGGTCACACAGGAAAGTGGAGGGAGTTTGTTCAGATAAGTGTTGAATCAATAGTTTTTGGTGGCTCACTCCAGTCTCTGCAGCTCACCACCACCCTGTTAAATATCAAGGCTGTGACAGCTGGGAAGAGCAAGGTTACTCCCACTGCTGCTGTGAAATATGGCGAAGGAAACTTCTTATCACCCTGGGGCACCCAAAGTAGGAATATGATTCATTTAAATGAGATTGTTTATGAGCCAAATCCCCAAAGCCAGTAATAAATCTTTCTTAATCCATCTGGAAGTCCTCTGCTCTATATAAATCTATTTTCCCCTCTGGTTTTTTATGTTGTGATCCAACAAAGACAATCAGAAATCTTGTTGGTTTTTGGATTCATGGCTTCTGATTTGTATACTTGGTGTTTCCAGAGTGTTGGAATTCATTTTTCTTGGCAAACCCTCACATAACCTTTTACTGGAATTGTCAGTGTTGAACAAAAGGCTAAAAAGCCAGTAATTAAACGGTATGTTTATGAGTTTCACCTCAATGATACGAGTCAGTCAGTCAAATATCCAGAGGGGACTCACAGATGGTTATAGATGATTATAATAATACATTGTTTTTTTATAGTGCTTTTCTAAGAACTCAAAGATGCTTTGACAAAACATAAAACCATAAAACAAAACAAAAAAGCGACAGAGAAGGCCCTGTCCCCCCAGGACCGAAGTTTGGTCCTGCAGGGGGGGGGGGGGGGGGGGCAGGAGGTTTGCATCTGCAGACCTGAGAGTGTGGGTGGGAGTGTGTCAGTGGAGGAGCTGAAACAGGTAGGGGGGAGCCAGGTTGTGAAGGGCTTTGAAGGTGATGATGAGGAGTTTGAAGTGGATACGCTGGGGGATGAGGAGACAGTGGAGGTCATGAAGAACAGGGGTGATGTGGTCTCTGGTGCGGGAGGGTGTGAGGAGACAGGCTGCAGAGTTCTGAATGTATTGAAGTTTCTTGAGTGAGTGTGATGGTGATCCATAGAAGAGACTGTTGCAGTAGTCTAATCTGGAGGTGATGAATGCGTGGGTGAGGGTCTCGGCAGCTGAGAATGAGAGTGATGGGCGGACTGTTTTGGTGATGTGTTTGATGTGTTTGTCGTAGGAGAGGGTTTGGTCCAACATGACACCAAGGTTACGGATGTGGGGGGAATCGATGGTGAGGGAGAAGTTGTTGGTGGATTTGATGAGGATTATGAAAATTAAAATATGGCACAGAGTTCTAGAGATTGTTCAACAGAATGTGTACAGACTATAAAGAATAACAGGACAGTAGACTAAAGCTAATGTTTGACAGAGAGGCTACCTTGAATGATACTAATGTGATATGACTGTAGGATATATACATGTATATATTTATCAGTCTAACTGCTGACTTTGATTCTGGTCCATGGCTAAAACACAACACAATATGAACTACAGGTACAAGAGACCTTAAGGAATTAACAATCACTTTGTGAATAGTTGCTACAAACACTGTGAACCTCACATACAGATGTGAAAAGCTCATCATCACTTTAGCTTTCTTGGCTGAGGAGTTTCCTGTAGCCAATTGCTTTGATTAAAGTTCCTAGTTTTTCATGTTACTGCTTGTTTTCCTGTTTGTGTCTTATTCACTTCCATCAGTTAACTTTGACACTATGATGTGTGACAAAATAGAAACTGAGTGAGAGAAACAGACAGTTTTAATGCGTTTTCTAAATTCTATCATCCAAAAGCGTCTGACAAAATGGTTAAAAGAGAGAATATGTCTGGAGAGGAGAGGCTGTGAGGCATGTATTTTCTATTAGAGTGCTTTCACACTGTAACCCATCGTGTTTGCTTTGTTCCAATTCTGATAAGGCATTTATGCATTGTTGCATTTTCCCCTTGGTTTTCTTTGTGTTTATAATTCAATGTTGTGAAGCGGTCCAAAGTTAGGGCTGTGAAATTAATCGTTATTGAGATATGACCCTTTGTAATAAACACAATTAAAAAAACTTCAATGTAGTCAAGCAACACTTCCTCCCTCAGTATATGTACATTGCAACTACTAGAAGGAGGCACGAGTGTAATATTCAAGGTTTCGAGGATTTATTTGGATTTAGGGGGGACATGTTGCAAACACAGATATTGTATTAAACAGCAGATAGCAAAACAAACTGAGTTATGGCTAATGCACTCTTTTTTTAAATTTATTTGTAGTTAGTGCTATTCATATCGTTATTGCAATATAGAAAAATGTTATAGCACATGGCATAATTTTGTCATATTGTGCAGGCCTATCCAAACCAAGCACCACCACGGTGCTGTATTTAAGGCCTTTACGTCACAGCTTCCTTTTTGCACTTGGGAGGTAAACTAACGCCATTTGTACTAGTTACACTTGGCATTGTGACTTTATTGTCATTTGGGCAGATGAGCATGTTTGTCAAAAGTTGGACGCCACAGTTTACAAACTTGTGAGTCAGCGCATGAATGAGAGAGTCTTTTCAACAAGCAGTGTCAGGTGAAGGCCAAGAAACTCCAATGGCTTTACCCAAAGGTACAAAATGCAATTAAAATCCCTCTGGTTCGACAGACTGGACAAAATTTGTGACACTAAACCAGTTTTTGAACTAGGAGATGTTGTTGAGTTCTATGATGTTCTGCTGATGTTGAATTTGATGGAGATGTTGGGTAGAGTTAGCCTATCACTATTTCAATGCTAATTATCATAAATTGCTGTTTTCGGTCATTAATTACTAACCTACTACTGCTTCTGCATATTCTACTCTAGCCTTTACTGTTACTGATACTAACAACTACTACTACTGAGTCAATTAGTTCTTTGTTTGCTTGTTTGGGTTGTTCTGCATCAGAATGCTATTGCAATGTTCCCAAATGTCCAAACAACCCAGTCTTCTTCAGATGATCCAGTTGTGAAAGCACCCTCAGAACTTTCTTCCTGTGGTGATGCTGTTGTTTGTATTAGCCTGACTGATGGCTCTCCAGGGTGAGGTGAAAATATGAAAGTGTTATGGAGGCTATTCAAACAAGAAGTGTAATACACACAGCTCCAAGGGAACTGTGGGAACCTCTCCCTGGCTATTTATGTCAACAGTGTGTGTGTGTGTGTGTGTGTGTGTGTGTGTGTGTGTGTGTGTGTGTGTATGTGTGTGCTGATATCAATGGCCAATATTGACCTTTATTTTCAAATATGATACAATCCAGTCGGTGAAGTTTTCTCTGATATGATAGGTGCAGTTTTCATTTCAGATTTATTGTACACCCCAATCGATCAATATTGTACTCAACGTTCAATTTCAAAGGATTATCACAAATCATTTCATCAGATTGGACAAGCATCTGTTTTACATTCGCATGGACAAGTTAACTGTTTCAGAAATGTGATCATCTGAATGAAGTCATATTTAATTCTGATGTTTTAAATGACCTTTTGATCGTTCTCACCTTGGTGAACTGTTGGTAGCAGTAATGGCCATTGGATAATCATACACAGTAAATCTTAATGAGAGGTGATACAATCCTTTGTGACCTACGTTATAACCTATAAGATGATGTGAGTGGGGATAATCATGCCTGCTGAGGGTTTCCAGGGGGGGTTGCCATGGTGGATAGCCCATTCAATTCAACATTAGTAATCAAAAACCTGTCTCTCTCAAATATCAGTTTTTTAATCATTTCTGGATATGAATGCATTCATTGATGTCACATTTTTATGCAATAAAGTGATTCTGTGCTAGTGATTATTATTCTCTCTTTCTTACTCTGCCTGTGACATTCCTCCGTCAATATATCACTCAATTTAATTAAGCTCGTAATGATTTCTGTAAAAGCCAGACTGGAGATGTTTGAGCACATTGTATCTTTACAGTCCATGTTTCCTTGAAAGAAAAATACACAGAAGATTTCTAATAAACACTAGGCCCTTCTGAGTTATGTGTATTTTTATACGTGATTGGAAATAATTAGTTCTGGACTACATCCACCCTGACATGCAGTCGAGGGGCTCTGCAGATCAGTCAGCATGTAATTACTTTTTAATGATGACTCACTCAGGCTTTAGCCTTTGGTTTTGCTGATAGTCATGACTGAAGTGAAAACATTTACCACTTTTAACCTTAGACTTCCCATAAAATTAATTTGGCACTTTTAGTCAATTGCGTTCATTGATAATGTCTGGATGGCAATTGGTAAAAGGGAACGAAAAGGTCCCTCTTATTGTCCAGTCCAGTTTATTTGTATGTACTGTGGTAAATTTGATATTCTTCATTTATCTTTTTATATGTATCTGCTGCCAAGTAACTAACTAAGCCAATAGTATATACCTACACCTTAGCACAGGCCCGTAGTGGCTAATCTGGAGAACCAGGAAATTCCATGGTGGGCTGGGCTGCGAGGACCAGTGTACAGTGACATTAAAAAGATCACACAGGCTGCACTTGCTATACATAATTATTAGAGTGGTGTTTCATTAAAGCCAATATGTTCTCCCACTGCCAGTAATTACGTTTGGTCATTGACATTGGTTCATCCCTCCGCCCCAAGAAAGCCAAGAGCCGATAATAAAAGAGGCTGATGTGCCCAAATGTGCCAAATTAAATATGTTTTTTTATTAAAACAAGTTTGTTGCTGTCTGTGGTCATGACACAAGTAAGCTAGCAGTGAAAGATCAAGAGGCCAGATTCACAAAACAAAACACAACATATAATGTGCAAACCACCAAGTTTATGATCAAGCCAGTGAAATGTGTGGTGTTATATTAACTAAAGTATAGAATACTAATACGTTTTTTGCAAAAATGTTTTGACAAGAAGTGTGAAACTGCCACGTAGACCAGCAGCAGCAGCAGCAGCAGCCCTTCAACCAGACATTGTGATGTTGAAGAGAAAAGTGAAACATTAAGTATGTTTGAGTGATGGACATGTGCACTTTAACTCTTTAGCGCCTGGAAGTATTTATGATCATTTGCATTGAGAAAGGATTAAAATATATGCTAGTTGTGACCTTATACAAATGTGAGTCAAATTTGAAATGAGATTTTTGAGGAAATACGAGTGAGTAACAAGGCTGTGGAGAGAAGTGCACTATTTCAAACTTATCTAGAAAGGCTAAAAGTATCTCCAGTAAAAGGTTGTGAACTAAAGCGGTTTTGATCTGAGCCATGAAACTTCGGGACTGAAAATGCGTCCCACTGCAGCCCTTCCTAAGCTAAGCGTCTCTCTTCACCTAATCTGTATTTTACATTAAAAAAGGCAATTACAAAATGATCCAGTGAAGGTGACAGAAATGAATTTACTTAAGGTGTAGCAAGATGGAGTTGTAGTCCATGTGTGCACATGGCAAAGGTTGAATTGAAGCATGGAATGAATAGGACTAGGAATAAAGCCTTCAGTACCAGAATTATAAAGCAGACATTTGTACAAGGTGCTATCCTCTTAAAACTTTCATTTATTCTTTTATCCAGAATTATACTTAAACCTGAGTACATCATTAATGTTATCACTGCTGTCTCCACCAAGGGCACTTACTAATCTCTCTCCTACTCCTGTCTTTTTCTAATTTGTGTTTCCAGACTGCTCAGACGGTCCTGGTGGTGGTGGTGGTGTTCTGCCTCTCTTGGCTCCCTCATCACGTCGTTCACCTCTGGGTGGAGTTCGGGACCTTCCCGTTAAACCAAGCTTCTTTCGTACTACGGGTGGCCGCCCATTGCCTGGCTTACAGCAACTCATCGGTCAACCCGGTCATCTACGCATTCCTGTCAGAGAACTTCAGGAAGGCGTACAAGCAGGTGTTCAAATGTCAGATCGGTTCCAGTGGCTCCCCACTCAACGACATTAAGGAGATCCGCAGCAAGGCGGACACTCCACCCTCGACCAACTGCACCAATGTCTGAATATTTCTATGTTTGCTTGGATATTGCCACAGCTGAACAATTCCACATGAGCGCTGTTCATTAAAACGTGAACTAGAGGAGAAGGGAGAACATGATTACTCGCTTTTTGATCAGTCTCTGTTTCCTGCTTCTCTTCTGTCGTAATGAAAACAAGTACGGTCTGAACTCAGGAAATGTATCCTCTTTCTAGACTGAACTCATTTACATTGTAGACATTTACGTGTCACATCAAGGTATATTCCCTGACCAGTACATTCAAAGTGAATGACTAACATTCTGTCACACTTCAAAGGTAGCCTATAAAATGTTTCATATGATTGACATAATAACAATACAAGTTATGCTACATCGAGTCACAACATAGTTGGAATACTGCTCTAAAACTGCATAAATACGCTACAGTTGCTAATCCCTGTAATGCTCTGTTAGTATGACCATTGGGCCCTTTGTCCACCTAACATTTTTTTCCGGGCTGAAAAGCACTGGCTGTGCGCTCAGGAGCACATGCATGAAGCGTTTGTGTGCTGAGAAGAAAACATGGCAACAGTCTGTAGACAACAGCCGCTGTATGACCGACACTGCTCTGTTATTTTTTTTATGTATGTTTTATCATTTTAGATCATTTATTTACCCATCAGGCACAGAGCCTAGAGGATATGGGAACAAGACACGATCCATAGGCAGAAAAAAAAAGGGGAATATCATACATTTTGGAAAAAGTTGAAAGATTCGGCCGCACAAAAGCGGTGGAGCGCTCGGAAAAAAAGACACTGAGCGCAGTGCATTTTCCCCAGGCGACCACAAAAAAGACGCTGCCGCTTAGAAAAAAACGACAGGTGGACACTGGGACTTAGAGTGTCCGCTGTAATACTGTGAATCAGTTAGTTTCATGTGAAGAACGCTATGAAGAGAAAAATGTAACTTGCTGTTCCTCCACATTATAAAGAATGTAAATGTCGTAACATTGCCCGAATGTTTCATGATGTAAGTAGACATTGCTTTGTTGAATGTACATGAACTATAATAATTACTGTCCAGAGTTTGAGTGGACCAGTTTTTCCATGAATTGTTGAATTGTTGACTTTTTTTCAATAATTGAAACGTGGCTGATGGAGTGATTAAGTTGGATATGTTGTTGTGTTAGAAGAAAAGGTGACTAAGCAATCACATCAAACCCCTTTGCTTGCCATATTTTGCTTTGGAATCCTATTTTCAAATAACATAAAATATGAATTCAATCAAAAACTTGTAGTATAGCAGTTTGTTTGTTTTGCTAGCAAGAGGGGGGCTTATAGTGCTTCTGCTGACTGGTCAGGTAAAGGATCGTTTGGTTGGGTGATAAAAACAGATGACAATTTCTATAATGGTTGCAAACAGAATAGAGTGGTCTCTAAAACCTCTCTATTCTTTACATTACTACCTAAAGGACATTGTAAAACGCTCAGGAGCCATGTTTCCCTTTTTTGGCAGGTGTCATTGAATGTTACTATGGAAACATGGCTTGTACACTTTTTTTCAGAAAAACATCTTTCACTGCTGTTCCTCACTGCTTGAATGTTTCTGAATTCCCAGAACTGAACATTCAAACATGTAGCCCCTGACAGATACAAAAACATTTAGGCTAGAGTGGGCAAAATAACTTTTTAACCAATTCTACTGAAATGTAGGCTAGTACTTGATCGTCATTTGCATTAGCGTTACAGCTAACATGTTGTTGATCTGGAGTGAAAATTATTGTGCTGACAAACTTTAAACGACAACCAAAGCAACTTTTTTTCATATTTTAGTGAAAAAAAACGAGTTTAAGCTATAGACAATATATATGTCAAACGTTTCCCTTGAGTTCAGCATGCGGTCAACGTGACTAAGCAAGCTGTTGGTAGACTGAAAAATAAGTACCTAAACTCTGCTGAGTGATGCCTGGTTTAACTAATTTCCCTACTTTTATTTTTACATTAGGAAAAACAGAAGACACCATGTGAGGAATTAAGAGTTGTTATGAGGTACAGTAGAGCTGGATTGAGTAAAGACAGTGCAATTGATCACATTTTTAATTTTCCTTAAACAGCTGACAAAAAGTTGCAACTTCACCTGAGAAAAAAAAAAGAATGCCATTGTTTTAAAACTCAGTATAAAAAGTTATATTTCACATTGATACATTGTATATTAATACTGAAGCAAATATGCACATAATGTTTTGCTATGTAAACAGTTTTGTGCTTGTGATGTGTTGTATGATTAAGTCAGGTGGTTTAAAATATAGAGCTCTCTACTTGTTTTGCACCTTGCTGGTAGCTATTTTTTTTCTAAACTTGAAACATGAGTGAAAATAAATGACTTTTAAGTCCTTTACAATGTGTATGTGATGAGCCAAGCCTCCACAGCTTTACACCAGTACACACAAAATATTGAAAAAGTGAGACCATTGGACCTACAGTTTCCTATGTACATTTTCAGAAATTTTGGAATGCATTTGATTTCCACTGAGTATGAAGGATCTCAAGTTATGTTCATTGTGAATATTCAGCTTGTGGTTCGGTAACAGTTTGTCATGGAGGGGAGCGAGCCTGCTGCTGTTTTTTTTTCTTAGCTGCAGCAGCTGATTAACACTAACTTCATCTTGAGAGAAGGAACTAATCCGTGCAATCAGACGACTCTCATCCTCCCTGTCAGTGAGGATCCCAGGAGTAAGTCAACCATTATTCCCACACAGCTGAGGAGGTGAAGCTGATGACTTTGCTCACTTGACTGACTGCAAAGATGGGAATGCTCTATCATGCACACGCAGGACTAAGAATATTAATTTTTAAAGTGGGCATTTGTAAAGGAATCTAATTAAAGCTGTGTGAACTCGAAGCTTTGTTGTGGAGCTTCAGTAGGACTACATGTGAATGAATGACTTTTCTGTGATGTGTTTCTGAAACACATCGAGTGTTGTTTTCTTCAAATTATCCATATAAAGAGCACATGAACAAAAGATTTCTGCTCAATTTTTTTAACACTTAAAACAACAATGTGTAACTTTTCCACCTTTAAATAGTAGTTTCAAAGGTGGATTTAATAGCACAATAACTGGAGAATGGCGTCCGGGTCGAGGTCATCTAGCAAGAAGTGCGTACACGGTTTTACGGCACTATAGTTCACAGAGCAGCCTTCAGTGATAAAAAGAAGCCAGTTAGCTCTCTGTGCTGGTTGATGAGGCTAGGAGGAAGAGGACGGTTGCAGATGCTGAGAAAGAGAGAGAGTGACAGAGCAAGAAGAAAGTCATCTAAACTAAGTTATGTCTCAGGTTTGTATACAAATAAATAAATAAATCCATTTTAAGTTTGAAACCTTACAAACTTTTCTCAAATAGCATCATAAATGAGCCTCTCAAATGTAGCCATTTACTAACAAACTAAAGACATCATGGTGCGGGTTGAATACAAATACTCCACATGCAAACTGTTTGCACATAACGCGCTGTAGATGGTAGCAGATTATTAAATGTTGGTATTAGCTTTTCAACACATTCTCATTTCTTTGGGTTTATAAAAATGTGTTACCTTGTCTTTTTATTTATACACCCCAATCCTTACTATCTGCACACTGCTCTAGTCAGGGACTACAAACCTACTGCTAAAAGGTTGATGCATGGAAACATCCTAAACCCTGGAAGATAAGTAAAGACATTGCATTCTCTCTTTAATGAAATACACTACCTCTTAGCTCACATTTCTAATGTTTTTTTAAACTTTAAACATTATATTGGGTGGGGGGGAGGGTGTGAGTCTTACACATTTCTTGTAACCCATATTTAAACCAATTACAATTGTAATTTTTGGTATCTTTTCTGTAACATGTATTATGTACATAACAATCATCTTCGCTTGAGGAGCATAGCGCTGAATAAATCTGATGGAATCAGTTGTTTGGCGGTCTGGCATTTGGCAATATGTCAATTCATAGTGAACCCTCTGACTGTTAGATCCTGTGTGGCCCTGTCATTACATATAATGTACCACAACATAAAAGTACTTTGAGTGTTAATTATTACTATTCAGTATTCACCCCTGAATGCTAATTTGTTTAAATCAGATTCCTGGGTTCCAGTGTGAACAAAACAAAAGTACAATCATTTGAGGGCAATGTTCTAAAGTTTCCTTTTAATTTTCCAATGTCAAACCTTCATTTCGGTTTATATTGCTTTAAAAACCAAAAGGTTTTTTTTTATCATGACATTAATTATTTTTTTTTAAAAACAAGCAAACACACTGAGCACGTATTTAAGTGAGGGGATGCAATAAAGGTGCTCTTATCATTATTATTATTATTATTATAATTCATAATTCTATGGTGTCTTTCTTTAGCTATTCCATATAACTTACCTGAAAAGGAGGGGGAAATATATATATCTATTCTTGACTATGTTATCTATCCTTGCCTGAAATGCAACATAAGAGAAAGAGTAATGCGATGTCTGGATGGTATTCTGAAGGGCTTTATTTTCTGCATGCAGTGCTACTCACATTATATAACATAATTAAGAAGAAGAAGAAGAGGACGGCTCCCACCAGTTGGGTTCCACTCAGAGTTTGGTTTAGCTGATAACACACGAGTGGAGTAAATTTCCTGGCATAGAATCATCCCAATGATCCCTGAGAGGCCTGAGAAAAACAGCCTGTCTTCCCATGATGTGCTGTGCTGTAAATATCTAGCATGAAGGGTCTTTTTTCAGAGATAAAGTTTCTAATGGTCATAAAATAGGCCCCAGTGAACAAAAACGCTACCCACGTTAGAAACAGTTGTATCAACAGGTGCTGTATTATTATTTGATTTAAAAAAAAAAAATGAAACAATAAGGCACATTGCTGCTACACCACATTTGACCAGAATTGTCCCGGATGTAGCTGGAGATGGTTTCTTGCACACTGTTTCAGTATGGTATTTGTTGTCATGGTGGTCGACCAGGGCAAACACTGCAACAGCCTGAAAGTTTTTTGGGAGAAACGCATTGAAAATTCATAATAGTGCAAGTTCAAAAAGACTATCAAAAGTCCAGATGCAACAATGGAAACCTGCTGCAAATGAGATAACGTGCTACACAGGACTCATACAAATGCCTTTAAAGAAAACAAGCTGCTAATGCATACTTGATGCAAAGTTAAAAAAAACACAACCTCATATGACAAATGCAACAGAAATACACCACAATAGGAGGGTTGGGGATAAATTGTCACTGGACATTGGTGAAAAGTATTTTCTGGAAAACATAATCCCTACGGCCACCAGGAAGACAAGGACTTCAGACCTGCAATGCAGACAGGAAACAAAACCTACAGAGACTATTATATGACAGGGGATATATTGGTGAGGCGTTTTTTATGTGCGTCCCAATTCCCCACCACCACCACCCACACTCATGCCTCTTGGGATCAGCCTGATTTTCCTTGTACTAGCTATTAGTGTATCGTCAACTTGTCAACTAAAAATAATCTTTCCCACCATGCCATGCTAACTAAGCTAACAGCAGCTACATATATAGTGACTGTTACTTATAGCAATTCTATTCATTATTGTCTTATTTTCCCATCTTTAATTGTATAATTTTAACCTCACCTCCTGTATCAAAACACAAAGCACGTAACTAAACAAGACCAAATCATGACTAAACCATTTGTAGATAATAAATGATCAAGTGAACCAAAATTATATAGACCTAAGCATTTGTGTGGGTTTGGTGCTGTTTAGTGAGTGTAGTGTACGTTACTTTAGTTTCTGTGCAGTGGTCAGTGTTGCAGGTTGCTAAAAAAAACTGATAATCATTAAATTCTCCCTCTCTCCAGTCAATAACTAAGATGTTTCATGTAGCACCCTCTGCAGGCCAGAAGCAGCTCCAAAATGACATAGGCTGGTATTCCCATGCACTGATCAAATGAACCCACCTTGGGGTTAAGTGTACTCGGATCTGGGACCAGATCCCTAATAGGAAACCACCTTCAGAAATCTGAATGGTATGAGGCACTCCACAAGTGTTTTTTTTTCATTTAATTTATCATACAGTAAAGATTAAAAGTAACATTACAAAAGTTACAGTTAAACGGGTCTGACTCAGTTAACACTGAGCAGGTTCCTGTTCTGCAGCACATAAAAACAAAGATCACATCAGACAAAAGACACAACCAACAGTCAGACTTAACATTAACACAGACAATTAGAGGTAAGGGGGAATAACTGAAATTAACACATCAGTTAAATCAATTGGTTGCAAGTCTGTTCATTCATCAGGAGATGTTTATACACCTGCTTGAAATGCCTAACTGAGGTTGTTGTCCTGATATAATATGGGACCTCATTCCAGAGTGTACATATGAGAGAACGACCTCTGAACATAGCTGGTTTTGTAAGCCTGTACTGGGATTAATGGTTACGAGAGTGATCTATACATTCATGACTCGTGTTGGATCTTGTTGATATGGAGTTCATCATCACTTGGACTTCAAACTATGTATCACTCACCCTCATGGGGTAAAAAAAACAACCCAAAAAAGCTAATTAACATGACAGTAGACTACCTTCTTTCTAGGTTGATAAAGCTATAGAGCTCAACAGTGACCTCCCACTTTTTCAGCGGTTCTGGTTCCAGAATTAAAATTCCCATTTCCAACCCTCTATTGACATTTCACAGAATCCTTGAGATTAAAGCCTGGAACCAAGACAACCAGCCACCCAAAAACTGCTGACTACTTTATTATATATAATACATTTGGGTCGGCACAAAAACAACATTAAAAAATTGAGAAAAAGGAAAAAGTTCAAGACTGTGTACATATTTTTCTTCCGCAGTCAAGGAAATACCCATCCCACAATCCATTGCCAATGATACCGCTTCTTCTTAACTGTAACTTTTGTAGTTGTTATAGTGATTATACTGTTAATAAAAGTGTTGTGATATATTGTAGTTTGTGTTGAGTGAATATATCAATTATGTTCATTGCATCATAACAAGGTTATTAGCACATTTAGAGTCAGTACTAAATAACTAATTAGCTAGCTAGTCTGTGATAGCGAAACTATGGGTTGTAAACATCGTCATGGTAACAGTGAGCTCCCCCAATCAGACACATCACTGTGGCACTATTTTATCATGGGTTGTGAAGTTCTTTTCCCCGATATCGTGAATAAACCGTGTTTTAAGAAAAGACACTGGTGTCTTACAGGAGCATATATCATCTTTTCACACTCAGGTAGCTCGCAGTAATACATCTTGGATGTTTATGACATTACAGCTAATTGAATCCACTACGGAGAAAATATATGGGATTTTTACCAGAACCACTCTGTTGAGCACTATTACCTTACAATATGCCACAGTTCATCCAACAAATCTTAAACGATATTTCACTGACTGTAGTATACTGTATATGAAAACCTAATTATAGATGAACATCATACATGTTAGCTGTTTTGATTAAACATGTACATACGCATTATTTTGTTTGCTTGTGACTCATTCAAGCTGTGGAACTTGTGCCATCTGCATGTTTGAATAAACAAATATGATCATCAGTTTTTTGTTTGTTTTTTACTCATGCAAGCTTTTTGCAGAACTGTTTCTAAAACACAACATGACATTCAGGTAAAGCAATAGATTTGCCCAGGACTGGAGGGAAACACACAGAGGCAGGAATAAATCCAAGACAAGAAACACTGGAGACAGGAACTACAAAATAAATCAGGAAACACTAAAGACACACAGACAATAAAATACACACTAGACAGGGGAACACAAGGATAAGAAATTACAAAACAAAAACACTCAAGACTAAATTAGGAAACATTAAGATAACACACAAGGGAAAGAAACAACACCAGGGAAGAATGAGATCAAAAACAAGAAAAAGATATTGAAACTCTGAAATACACAAAACTACACCAGACCAAATGATGACAATCTCCTAATGAGTCCCTTTTGTGTGCACTTGAA